TGTCTCCAACAACCTCTTTGCTGCAGGCTGGAGCCATCACTCAAAGAAACAAATCTGATCACACAACTCTCCTCCAGTGGCTTCCCTCTGTCCTCAGGATGGTGCCCAAATGCCTTTGCTTGATCAACGTATCCTACAAAGCAATCTCTCCACTGCTCATCTCTCTTTGCCCCCTGCCTCTTTATACTCCACCCTCTAGCTCTTCCCAAATACTCTCCTCTTCCCTCCTGTCTATTTTCTCCTGGTCTTTGTGCATGCTGGGCCTCTGCCTCAAGTGTCCCCCCTCCACTAGACTGGCCCACTACTTGCATGTCCCTTTCTCTGAGCTGACTGACTGCCTTGACTCCCCAAGCTTGGGTTAGCTGACATTCCTCTTGAATCCCTCATCGGACTCCATCTGTGGCACTTATTCTTCAGTACTGTGCTTGTCTTGCTGCAAGTCCAAGTGCTAAGCAGTACTGAGTTTGATCTGCGGCCATAACCCTCTCCCAGCACAGGCCGCACACAAAGCAGATACTCAAACATTTTGGAGAGCTGAATAATCCTGCGAAAGTGTACAGGTGCATCTAGTTCCCTTCAAGTCAATGCCTTTCACAAATCCAATTACCCTGCAATTCCTTTGATAACAGAACAATTAGTACAATTAATACAGTTAGTTGGAAAAACCTGGATTAAAACACACACATGCACTGCCCAGTGGTGTTTTGGTAGCAACAGCACATTTCTTCAGGAGCTAAAATGGCTGATTTTGTAAATATTATCTACTTATTATGTGTCTCTTGCCCAGAAATGGTATGAAGAAATTCACATGATGACTAAGTTTAATCCTAACAGGCACACAAAGAGGTGCCCAGTAACTTTAGGCCCAACTATTTGCCCAAAGATACTTCCTGCTTGCCAAGAACTTACTTGAGTATCATAATTAAATTATGAAATGGATTCATTTTACTTGGTGGGAGGCATAGAGAAAAGATTTCTATCTACTTTCTCAAACTTGAATTCACTAATATGTTTTTGGCACAGTTTATTCTTAAATGAAAAATAAACACTCCCTCAGCCAAGGTGGACAGGTCTGAGGCTACGGTTTATTTCTCCTTCAGGTTTTAATAACTCAATGGAATTTATAAGTGCTCTTTTTTTTTCTTTCATTGATCTCCATAAAGGAAAAGCTACTGCCTAAAACCCAATTACCAGCCAGTTTATCTGAATGATAAATCTTTTCCCCACTGTGCTTCAAATAGTCATTGCAAGCAGAAACACAAAAGCGTGTTGGACAGAAGACACGTCTGCTCCTGCTTTTTAATTTCACAAAAATTCTTCAGCTTTTAAAACCACGGAAGCATTCTAGTGCAGTCGCTAGCTAACCACTAACGGGAACAAATTCTCCCTTAACAAGGCTCACGCACATTCAAGGGGAGCAAGGCCCGAGGTGCCAATGGGGTTCCCGAGTACTAACCTCCGAGGACCCAGTGTTGACACCCAGGTCAGGTAAGGAATCGGCCCTGTGAAGGTGCGGAAGAATCAAACCCTAGCGCTTAAGTCCCGACACATCAAGGCTGGGCCCTCAACTCAAAATCCCCAAGGTAAGCTCCGTCGAACCAGTGAACAACGACTCGTTAAAGTAGCTACTAATAGAGCTGCCACTGGTTGAGCACCGAAAGCCAGGCAGAGACCCAGCGCCCGCGTGGGTCACCCCACTCCTGACCGCGGCGACCGTGGGCGGGGGTTCTAGATTCTCTGCTGGCTCGGAGGAGAGGCCAGGGCTAGCAGCAAGGGCGGAGAAGGCGCCCTTTCCGCGCTTACCAGGGTGAGGGCCACCTCCAGCATGGGTGCGAGGGCCAGGGTTCCGTGGAAGAGGGGGATGCAGTCCACGAAGAGGGTGTGGTGGGCGCCCGGGCCGCCCAGAGGGAGGTGCTCCTTGCGCGGCTTCTGCTTCTCGGCCACCAGGAGTCCGTTGACGGCGCAGTGCGGGTACTTGGCGCCGTGCAGCACCATTTTGCAGTAGGCCTGGGTGGTCAGCTTCACCCCAGGCATGCTGAGCCCGGAGGGCCCCGGAGGCCCCTGGGCGCACGGCTGAAGCTTGGGTCCGCTGCCCGGCCCCGCGGCGCCTCAGCGGAGAAGCAGGGCGAGGCGGCCGCGACCGCCAGGCGC